TTCCCTCTTTACTTTGACAAAGAAGCTCTTTCTGATGGTCTCTCATTAATCACTTTAAATAAAACAACAACAACATCAACAGGAAAGGTTCCAGCAAAATACACTATGTAGCATATCAAAAAGCCATTTCTTTCCCAAAAGGAAAAAGCAAATGCATACCGACTCCTCTCCTTTCTCTCTGACCTGTAAGGATAGAAATGAATTGATAGAGCAAAAATGTCTGATTTTATGAAACAATACTATTTCTAATACGGCAATCCATTCCTGCCATATCAAGGAATGTGATTGGTCCAAAACACAGAACCTGATACACAATGAGGTAGGCCCTTAATGATGGAGGTTACTCTGTCGGTCATAATGCTAATCTGACAGGATTGTCTTGTACTGTGACAACCACGCTGAGATAAAATCCTGACAGACCTCTCCAGCAGGAGAGCAAATGGGTTCTAAAAGAGGAGGCAGAGATTATGGATTTGACTTGATGGGATTTTTTTTTTTGGCTCGAATAAATTCAAATTTTACATGTCTTATTTAAATAGCCCACCAAACTTGAAAGAAAATGCCTGGGTTTCTCATGATGTTTGAAAGAGGTGCATCCTGGAAAACCTCTTCTCCCCAAAGAGTGTGAGTGGAGGCCCTTGAGGGCGGAGGTCACATCCACCCTTCTAGGAGAGGAAGGAAGACAGAGGGTGTTTGTTTCACACGGGAGTTCACAGCACAAATTACTGTTTTCTTTGTTAAACAGATCTCTGAAACATGCTAGTTCCCTGCCTGTCTGTTGTCTGAAAGAGTGGAGAGCAAAGAATAAAACTGCAAATTTTAAGTCATCCGGTATTTGAGTTTTGACAATCTGGAATCCATGCTTATGTTTTACTTAATTTCAAATGTAACGCTAAATCTGGAAAATCTAAAATCTTATAACATCCACTTGAATGAAAATTGAATTTGAAAATAAACCCAAGAAATCAAGAGTTTAAAAGAAAACTGTTTCATTTAATCCCTGCTCTCCCTTGTGGTTCTCTTTTCTAAATCAATTTGGAAAAAAATGTTTAATCATGTGCCTTTAATTAAAGGTCTGAGCCGGTGGAGAAGCACAAAGTGGGGTTTGTTTCATTTCGGCAAGAGTGTCCAGTGGTTCTATTACAGACAGCTAAAGCTATGCAGAAATACTATAGGCAGTCATACAGGGCAGACAAAAGTAAAAACACATTACCACTGTGGCTGGAAGCACATCTGGTGGAGGCTAGGCCTCAAAATAAAAAGGAAATGACCAGGCCTAAGATAAATGGTAACAACTGGTCTAATGAAGTCTAGATAGACATCAGTCACTCTGCTGGATGACTAAGACCCTCAGACTCATCCTTTCCTGAAAAGTTCTTTATTTCTTCCATGTATACTTGCTATGTGACTTGCTTCCCTATTGGATCAATGTTACTAAGTGACTATATTTATAATCTTATTGGTTGATCATAGCTGTAACCCAAGTTGTACCGATGTGGTGGTGGTTGTGCTCTTGAAAACTTCCCCTGAGAAGTGGGGTCCTGGGCAACGCACTTGAGTCCCCTCCTGCCTCTCAGGAGCTGTATCTTTCCTCTCAATAAATATTTTCTACTCTTAAACTCTGCTGTGCCTAATAATTCATTCTTCAATTTAACGGAACACAAACTCGGCATGTTGGACATCTAGCAAGTTGGGAATTATAATACTTCCCCTGTATCATTTGGAGGTTCCATATCATTTCCTATATCAGTTTCATCTAAAAAATTTGACATTCAGTAACACAAATTTCCAGCAGAGCCTTCTATTTTGTCTGAAGTTGTGAAAGAAGTAAACCTTCATGAGTGGGGAGACAGTCCTAAAGATTTCTTCTTTTCTTTTCTTTTTTATCTTTTATCTTACTGCAGTGTGGTAACTTTGCCTGAATGTATTAAGCAAATTGCCTGGATGAGGTCAGTACCCAGATCACTAAGAAACAACTGTGAAATTCCACTCACATAATAAGCAGGATGTGATTCACCAGGTACTGCACTATGGGAAGATGAGACTAGGGGTCCTGGGTCATAGAAGAAGGCATACAGCATTGGCGGCCAGGGCACTGAGTGCTCATCCATCTGTGCTGGGAGCAATCCATGTAAGTGTGGTGAGACCATTACTCCTCTGGACTCCAGACTTTGAATGAATTGACTAGGTGGCTCACAACATGCAGCCAACACTTGATGAGACTTGCAGGTCTGTCCATAACAAAGAATCTTAATGTCTAAAGTGACGTGGGGCACAGTGTTTCATATGTGAGTGAGCTCACTGCCCCATTTCTTAGCCTTCACTTCTATAAAATGGGGGTAATAGTAGGCTCCATGTTGTATAAGGGTGCTGTAAGGTCTAAATGTCTTTATGCCTTTAGACTACAGCCTGGCATAAATGTTGGCTGGCATTTGACTTTAAAAAAAATGCTTCTTCCCTTGCCAGATGGATTTTTCTGAGTTTAGCATTTTTGCCTGGTCACCACCCCCAACTATCTGAAGTATCCATATGTGCCCTGTGAATATTTTGTGACTTTTATTATCCCTTGGAAGTGTTTGATGGATATTCTGCATGGCTATTAGAGATCTAAATTTCAAGCTGTGAAACAAAGTGAATTTTGTTGGGAAAAAAGAAAGCCTTAAGCTTTAAATACCTCTAATGTTCTTTGATTTTAATCTCACGTGCAGTAGCTGCTGTTTAAAGCCTCCATGGGGCATTAAATACAGTGATACCTCTATTCATGAACTTAATTCATTCCATGATTCTGGTCACAGACTGTATTCCCTGATTCTGGTGTTGTAAACTGATATATCACTGCAGCAGAGTCTGAAGATTAAGTACCGAAGGATCTGAAAGGAGGTATTGGAAGTGCTTACTGCTCCCACTGTTTTACAAGTCATTACACTTTGCCTAGACCCCAACTCAAGGGTATTGATTCATTACCTCATTCATTCTTTCACTCACAAGCTTTTATTGAGCACTTTCTATGTGTTAGTAATGGTATAAGATAAATAATAGATGGCTTCTCCTTTTGAAGTGCTCAGAGCCTATAGGGACACAGATGAACCAATATGTAAATTACCAAAGTGGTAATTATTGTTATAAGGACACAAAAATGCTTGAGGAGTCCAGAGAACTAAGCAATTAATTGTACCTGGAAGAGCCAAGAAGTGACAACCAAAATGGGCCTTGAATGAAAAGTGCAACCTTTGTGCAATTGTGTTTTTCTGTTTGAATGTGGCATGTAGGGGGAAGAATGAAGGCCTTTGTGAAAGGAGCTGGTGTCTTGGGGAGGTCTGCTGAAGAGCAACATCACCTAACTCCCACCTTCCCCCAGAGATAAGAGAATACACATCAGATATCCCAATGGTACTGGGAATATCTCCATATGACACTTAAATGTTCAGTATTAAAAGTAAGTGCACAATGATTTTGTCATCCCCAAAGAATGTGGTTATCTTCAGTAGCTCAGTTTATACTGTAATGCATATGGTGTGGTTGCTCCCCAAATTCCCAAGAAGTATTTTTTGAGTCAGGCTTATGAGAGGATGGGTTTCAAAATACAAAAGCTAAACTAACACAAGGGTGTTAGAAGCCCTCAAAATCAAATTAACAGACACTCACATATTGCTCTGGTTCGACTGTTGAATGCCCCCTAAAAAGTCATGTGTTAAGATCTTGGTTCCCAGGGTGGTATCCTTGAGAGGGGGTGGATCTTTAAGAGTTTCTCTGGTGTGAAAAACTATAATAGTACACAAGATCCTAATGAGATAATTGACAATGTGAAATAGAAAGAAAATGGCTGAAGGTGTAGGGAAAGTGGGAAGGGTAAGGGAAAGGGAATAAGGGAAAAGAAAAAATATAAGAAAATGAAAAAATGGAAATAAAGTGTTTGTAAACAGGGAGGGGAGGAAGGGGTGAAGGGAGGGCAGGGACAAGGGGAAAAATGAGAACCAAGACCTGTCATGTAAAGGTACAAGATTCCAATAATGAATTTAACTGTACCGTATACCTAAAATGTACCAATAAACTCAATTTAAAAAAAGAGATAGGACAACGTGGGAGGTCTTTAGGTCACTAGGGGTGATCCTGAGAGGGACTGTGGGACCCTAGCCTCTTCCTCTATTTCTTCCTGACCGTGAAGTAAGCAGTTTTTGCTCCATCATGCACCCACATGAAGATATGCTGCCTTGCCACAGGCCCAAAGCAACAGAGATAATAGATCACGGAACGGAGCCTTCAAAACCATAAGCCAAAACAACCTCCATTTCCATGAGTTGATTAGCCCAGGTATTTCATATAGTAATGGAAAGCTAATACATATATCTAACACCTAGGTTAAGCAACCATTGACATTTATTCATCTTAGCAGATTTTGAAATATATATGTGCAATGCATTTTCTGACTCTCTTTAAAGAAAATCACAGATGTCACAATATTTTATACTGAAATACTTCTGCACACATGTCCAAAAATTAAAGACATTTTACTTTGTAACTAAACATAAGTTTTACACCTAACACAATAAACAATAATTTTCTAATTTCAAATATTGAATCCACATTTATATTTCCTTACTTTCTTCACATGATAGATTTTTTTGATGTCAATTTTATATTTAAATGGGTGACATAAGTGTTTTTGAATCTCTTGGACATTGACTAATCTAATTCTTACTTCAAACTATATTTTTCACCCTACCATATTGATTTGGAACCCAAAAATAGCATGTAGGCTTGTATAAATGCACAAGTGAAACGGGACTGATCTATTCAGAAAGGCTAAAGAAAAGAAGGGCTGGGAGTTAGAACCTTATCTTTTCAGGCTGAGAATTTCAAAAAGGTTGTTCTGCTTTTTTTCTAACAGGGAACCCTGGAGAGATTAAATTGATCAGAAAACAAAAATGCTAACAGATGACATTCAATATTTCTTAACACTTCACAGTGGAGTTGGGTATTTTAATGAGATATTAGAAAAAAAAAGGTGAAGCAAAACATTGTGTTTTGGCATCTCTTCTCACCATCCCACAGCAGCCGAGATTCTGTCAGGACCTGGATAACTCCTACCAGACTGCATGCTCTAGGCTCAGATTGTCCTCTTGTGTGTGGCCTGAAGGTGCTGTCTGCAGAGAAAAATGAGAAGCATCTATTTCTACCAGGAGAACTGAAGCAACAGTAAAAGGGAGAAGACTTAGTTATATGAAAAGGATTTGGGACCAAATGATATGCATTTAAAAGTTTTTTAGAATGATCTCCGATTTACAAAACAGGTTATGTAGACTGTTTTTCCAGAACCATGAGAATTATGTGCCAGTCTGATGTTCCATAATCCCTTAATATTTTATTTTCCTATAGTACCATGATAGAATCATCAAAATTAGGAAGTTAACATTGATGAATTACTACCATCTATCACTCAGATCCCATTTACATTTTACCATATTCTATCATAGCAAAAAGATCCAGTTTGAAATCATAGGTGGCCTTTAACTGTTTTCTCTTTAACCTGCTAGCAAAAAAGCCATCATCAGATGAGGCTCCTGGACCCAGTATCTTCAAAACAGTGGGTTAAATACATAACTTCTCCTCTTCCTCCTCTTCTTCCTCCTCCTTCCCCTCTTCATCTTTCTCCTGCTCCTCCTCTTCCTTCCTTTTCTTCAATTAAGTAGCCGCTTCAGGTATTTTACTGCAGGAAAAAAAAAAAAAAAAAAAAAAGGACTAATACAGCCCCCATCCTCTACTTTCAGAGCCAGTAGCACAAGACCATCTTCAAATCAATATTCCTTTCTTTATCTGTCTTTCTCTTTCAACTCTTCATCTGTTGTCACATCTCTTTCTCTGACTCTGTCCTTCTTGTCTTCCTCTTATAAGGGGCCTCATGATTGATTAGATTGTGGTCATCTGGATAATCTAGGATAATTTTCCAGTCTCAAGATCCTTAATTTAACAACTCTTACCAAATACCTTTTGCTGTGTAAGGTAATATATTCACAGGTTTTAGGGATTAAAATGCATACATCTTTAGGGGTTTACTATTTTACCCTCCATAATATGGGTGTATGGTAAATAATATGTACACATACTTTCATTTCTGTATTTATATAAATATATTGAAAACTGTGAATTTACTTGGATGCCTCCACTTAGTCCAAGAACTACAGGATTGATTGTAGGTCTCTCTGCTTCAATATTTTAAATTCTCTTCTCCAACAGTGAGAAAGCTTTTTCTCATTGTCCTTAATAAGTTACTTATTTTCTTAATCTCCTCCATGTAACCAGTCTCCTATTTCAGTTCTTTCCTCTTACCCACAGGAGGGCATCCTACCACTCAGCATGGACTCCCATACTTTACACCATGGGGATGTCCCCTAACTCTAGGGCCACTGTTGCCCCATGCTGAGCAGGCTTCCTGTGTGGACTTTCTTGTCGCCCTGCTGGGACTCCAACATCTAGCTCTGGACTACTGTGGCTTCCCCTCGTAGGCCCAGAGACTGCTTCCCTCTGTTCTACCTAATGATTTTACAACCAGATCATCGAAAGAGCGAAGAGAGGAGACAGAACAGCCCAAGTTTTGGAAATGTGGGATGCTGAGGGGAAGAGGTGGGGATGTGAAGTGGGACTAAGTTCATAATAGAGGACTTGAGGCTAGAAGAAATACAGTTCTTGGTTCTGTTTGCATGTTTGAGGAGTCAACATATTTGTCTAGGCTGAGGAAGCTGCCACCATGCTGGAGCTTCACCAGACCATTTTTTATTAAAAACCATCTTTTCGGCTCTCAGTGTTTTTTCTGCTGATTAAGAACACTGACTCGGCTAAACGAACAAGGGAGCTGATTGTTGATCTGTCTCTTGAAGCAGGAGAGGCTTTTGGTCAAGTGGAGTGGGAGTGTATGACTGAGGTACTTTAAAAAATGAAATTTGGAGATAAGCCTATGAACTGAGATTGAACTTTATTCCAAGTTCATCGAACAGAAATGTTTCAGATCCTCTTAATCTGGAAAAAGCCCTTCACAATTACCCTTTCAATCCTTTATTTTTCTTTAAGATGAAGCTGCTTCTCAAATTATCATTAATCTACCTACTGAAAAGTTTATTCAAAAATAAACTCAAATTTAATGACTTTTGAAGCTGTTTTCTTTCTGAGGGATTGGGAGACTTGGCTGGGGTGCCTTCTCCCTTTCCTGGCACCCAGAGGGGGCGGTGCCTTCCGGTGACTAGGGAGGATAGGACAGGAGCACAAGCTGAGTTTCACCACATGGTTGCACAGAAAGCTGAAGCTTGTGGGTTCTGATCCCAGTACCCTGATTGGCTTCTCAGCAATTTCAGGCAAGTAATTTAATTTTTGCATGTTTGGCCTGCCACCTTCGCTAACAATACTCCTCATTGACTTATCTCATTGGGATGTTGCAAGGGCAATAAGGAAGAGAGTGGTCAAACACTGCGTGTGTACGATGGTCCAAGAAAAGCGAGCCCAGAGACCTCTTAGAATTAGAGGTGATCTTTTCTTTTAGGAATGAGCTATGCTTATAGTGCTGGTATTTGTGGCTGCTTCTGTTTGTTTTATTCATTCAACTCATGCCATTATTAATTATATCTATAATAATATGCTTGCTTTGACTCAGATGAAGTCACCCGCTTCAATATCTTTTGTGTACTTCCTATATGACTGACTCTGTATATTAGCATGAAAAAGCCTCCCAAATTATTGGGAAGTCAGATAATGTCAAATATTTATAAGCATATTCATGCTTATATCAGAACTGCCTCCTCTGAGATATATTTCTTTGAGCAGACACTTTTATCAGAAAAATTGTCTGAGGGAAACTAAGCTTTAGTGAACGATACATCTTAGTTTTTAAGAGGAAGGGCTCCCCATTAGCCTTTTTATAGAAGTATAGTCTCCCTAAAGAATTAATTAATGAATTTCCATACAGTTCTTCCTTGCTAAAAGGAACATTACCCAAAATTTGGCCTGCCCCTTTGCAGTGCCAAGCACAGAGAAAATGAATAACATGCTCAATGTAGGGGTGCTAGGCCAGATTGCACACAGACTGGAAGCTAAACTAAAGGGGATTATTTCATAATCCTGAAAACTCTTCATTTATGTATAGGTGGAAAAAGCTGCATTTCATAGTATACCCACTACAGACAGCCACTGCCTCCCATGACATTATCTTTGAAATTTTAACAGCAAGAAACCTTCATGCTTTTATATCAACCATAGCTGATATCTAAATTCAAAATGCCAAGGGGAAAATGAAAGTCACAAAATAACACTACACATACAAGGGTTTGGCAACTTTGTTTCCAGTTGTTGGCTTTGGCTCTCAGCAGGACTTCTGGATGGCTTCTGTAGGAAAACTTTTTGAGTATATTGGACAGATACAGCAGGCCACATGAAACGTCTATTATTACTTCAATCTTGGCTGCCTCTAGTGCACAGAGCCAGCTGCCTTATTTTCTTGTTCTGTAGTGTGTCATTTCTGAGTATAGCTCCAGTACACAGGGACTTCCCCAGAGCCTGTTTCAGGACCATTACCTCTTAGGACTGAGACTAACCCTAGCATGATCTTTGCAATTCTGCAGCTGCTGCTGTTTCTGGAGGAGAATCAAGCCCAGCCTGGTTTTCCTTTTCTAAAACTGTGTCATAATTAACTGTCAAAGTCTAAGGCATCATCAAGCTCTTAAATCAGAAAATAGATTAAGTGCAGAATTGCAACATGCAAAAGCAGCATGTAAATGTTTCTAATACATAATAGAAAGCCAGAGAGAAAGTTACCAGTTGTCTAGGCAGCTCCCCCACCGAGAACTCAATTTTGTCCCCCAAACCCTACTCTCTCCTCAATGTATGAAGGAAGAATGAGACAGACTAAAGAACTTACTTGGGATTTAAATATAATTTATGGAGCTTCAAGCATTTGAAGTACTACTACTACTTACTACTACTACTACTACTACTACTACTACTACTACTACTACTACTAAAAACCTTTGTATGCTATAACCTTAGGTATTGAAAAAACTCAGGAGGCCAGTGGTCTCACCCAATGATGCTTCTGATCCCTGACCTCCTAGGGAAGAAGAAGCACTTGTCCTTTTTTTCTAGAGTTTGGATCATGTGAAATTCACTCGAGGCTGGAGTGTGCCAGAAGGCTGTCACTGACCTTCTTAGCAATCTTGAACATCTATTCAAGAAGAAGCTTGATTTCAAGGAGAAAGTTGAAAACAACAAATTTTTGTTTCTACTTGTTCATGTACCTAGTCTTGGGAAACGTTAAAAATACTTGCGCATGCCTGTAGTCTCAACATCCTGGGAGACTTAGACAGGAGTAGCATTAGTTTGAGCCTAGCCTAGGCAACAGTGACTTAGCAAGACAGAGACTCAAAATAAAAAATGAAAAAGAGCCAGGGGTGTAGCTTAGTAAAAATGCCCTGAGTTCAATCCTAGTGCCACAAAGAAAAAGAAAAAAAGGAAGGTGAGAGGAGAGAGTAATGATGAAAAAGGAAATGTTTTAGTGGATAGAGAATTGAGCCAAGAAAGGTCAGGAGTCAGGAATGTTTTGACTTTGCCACTGATCATTCATTCGTTCAGTGACCTGAGGCAAATTTTCTCTGTTATTTCAGTACCTGATATTTATATCTATAAAATAAGAATCCTGACATTTATTACACAACTAGTAGGGCCGGTAAATTGAAAGTCTGGGCTTTGGAGGCAGATTACTTGGTTTAATTCCAACTGTATTATTGCTAGCTTTGTGGCTTAGCTTTCCATTCCTGTGACAAAACACCTGACAAAATCAATTTAAAGAAAGAAAAACTTATTTTGGCTCATGGTTCCAGAGGTTTCAGCCCACACTTAGCTGGTTCTGTTGCTTTTAGGCATGTGGCCAGGCAGAAACCTTAAGGCTAAAGGGCTTGGTGTAGGAAAACTGCTCACTTCATGGCAGCCAGGAAGCAGAGAGAGAGAGAGAAAGAGTGGGTCCAGTGACCAAATATAGTCCCTAAGGTCATGCTCCTATAATCTACTCCTTTCAACTAGGCCCCACATCCTGTTTCCATAACTTGTTAATCATGCCATCAAAGTATGATCTCATCAATGGATGAATCCACTTAATAAAGTTAAA